ATATAATGCTCAATAATATACTTTTAGAGTAATTAAATATTTCAGCTAGAATTATATATTTAATTAAAACACTAATACAAAAAATATGTGATAAAATAATCTGATAGATTCCTAATAACAGTGGCATTATAATGTTATTATCACACATTAGCACCGATGTGTCACAGTTACTAGAAGAATTAAGAGCCAACAGCTTGTAAGATAGCACCCACGTTAATTCAATTAGCACAAAATCGCCCCAACAAGTACATTGTTAAACTTAAACTATATGCGAGCCTCATTGCGTTACTCCTTAATACTTTTCCAAGGTCACAAATGAGTAACGCACACATCACAAAACACATTAATTTTGTGTACTAGGAAAGTTTCTACACTACATCCAACGTGATTAAGCAAGAATCGTGCCTGATATATGAAGACAATTCCCACAGCTGCAGTGAGGCTGTGACTAACACAACAACTATCATTCTCTTGTGGGTGGCGTTTATAATATCAGTGCATGTCGACATCTATTGTCAATCTCCATCTGATATCTAACATGTGACTATGGTGGTAAGCTTTTTCACATCCTAATTTAAGAATTATGAGTTCAGTTCCAATTCTGGTCACGCTGTTTTTGTTCACAGGCGAAGAATTTACAGTTGTTGTCCTTCTTCACCCAGGAGAATAAATGTCTGTTAGATTTATTTGGTATATATGAATAGATGATAAAAAGATTTTTATACCACACAAATTCAAGGTGCTTCAGACATTCAGAAGTGGTTGGTGCAACGGTTGTGATTTGTGCTTTCAACCTAGATCAGGGTTCAAACATTTTTGCTGTGTATTTTTCTTGTGTCCTTTGGCAAGACATTTTACTTTGCTTTTTTTCTCTACCCTGGGTATCTAGAGGATTCAAACACCAATGCACTGAATATTAGCTAGAAAATTATGAAATTCAGAAAACTGAGTTGCAAGGGTAATATTTTAAAGCCTATAGAGGCCCTTTTGGCATGATGCAAGATATAAAACTGATATTATTTTTTAAAAACATCATGACCAAATATGACTAAATCATAAAATAACCTTGAATTTAACTAACCAATTAAAGAAAGAAGACTGCTTGAAACAATAAGAGCCAACATCACCACTCCACTCACCAGCACATTGCATAAATTGTAGAAATTTTGCAAAATCACTTGCATATCTCTTGTTTATTGGCCTAAAAAAATTGAACTCTGCCAGGTAGAAATGCACTATGTACAACACTACTATCTAGCCAGAAAAAATTTCTAAAAAAAAAAAAAAACCAACGAAGGAGGATGACGATGCACTGAAAAGTATAAAAACACTGTTACAACCTCAGCATAATATGTTATGACAAGTGGATGCAATGCTTTAGAGAAAATATGTTTTAATTAGGTGCACTGCTATAAGGTCATTTATTACAGAATTATTTTATATTTAATATTTGGTTCTCTGATCCCTTTAAATGAATAAATTCCACATTCCAAAAGGTGTAGATAAATTGGACCTTCTACCCATATATCTGCCACCATTGGTTCCCCTACTCCGCATCTAAAACTATTCCCCTCAATACCACATTATCCAGAGGCAACGGAACTAGAGTGGAGTGTCCGACAATGCATAAAAGAGCATGACGTATTAGAGTGGGAAAAGATGGGATAGACAAAATAGCTGGTTGTTACGAGATGTGTATTCTGCCTATTTCTTCTACATAACCATCAAATCACCACGTTCCATTTCTGTTATTCCATCTGCTTCACAAATTCTCGTCAGTGGCCGTTTTAGGAAAATTACATTCAGAACCTCTGGTTTCTCTACCTCAAATCAAGGACCATTGGCTTTCTACCTCAGATCTGGAATCAATGGCTCCCCTATCCCAGATTCGGAGCTTTTGATTACTTTTCACATGACACAGGCAATACTAATTCAAATATACTTAGGCCTAGCAGTATTAAATCTACTATAAACCTCTTTTTTATAACTTAAGCACATACAGCCAGCCTGGAGGATCTCTCTGGGAGGCTTAAGAATCTAAGGCATTATTAAACATTAACAAATACAATCATACATCAAATTCATAGGATTTCAAACATTTATCAAACAAAAACATGTGAACATAATTTGTACAAATATGTAGAAATAAATTTCTTCATAAAACTGATGCACTAAATATCACGGTTCCAAGCAAATGATTGGCCATATTCCAATAACACATATTTAACAGTTGAAACATGTAAGCATCACATGCAGCATCACGTACATTATATAAATAATTAACATCGGTGAAAATTCCAATTATGATAGAGAGAACTACACATGTAAAAATGGTTGAACAAGTTCCTTGATTGCTGTTCAGATGTGACAGTTCTATCAGGCAGCTGCTGCCATACTTCTTGTTTCTGTGTTTTAAAATGTCGTTCCTTTTACTGTTTGGTTAAATATAATAAGGGATATACAAAAAAGGAAATGGTTTCTATGTCACTTTTAATTTCCTATTTGGTAGTACAAAAATCAATAAAATAAACAATCAGGATGACCAAAGTAGAGAGAAGCAAATTATTCCTTTCATTTATCTTTTAGGTAATTGATAATTAGGGAATCAGAACAAATTGAATACATTATATGAACATTTTCAGACTAAAACACAGCTTTCCTCCATACTCATAATAGAATTTTTTTCTACAATGTAGAAGTGGTTGGCACATCGATTGTGACTTGGACTCCTAAACTTGAGGTATGGGGTTCGAAACTCTCACTGTGCAAGTCGCTTGTGTCCTTGGGCAAGGCACTTTATCTATATTTGTCTCTCTCTACCCAGGAGTATAAATGGGCATTTGGTAGGAAGTTGTGGCATTGAATGTTATAGTTTCGTGCACTAAAGAAGTAGCAAACGACTTGGGATACTCCCCAGGGAGCAGAGAAACTTGCACTTTGTGCTGGTTTGCCATTGTACGTTATCCAGTGACCAGGGGTAATAACGCTCGCGCCTTTGATCATTCAATTTGGAATTGGCGCCTTATAAATGTTTGAGTATTATTATTATAAGTATTATTTTAAAATTTATAATAATGAGCGTCCCAACTTTTATAGTAAGGAGAGAAAAGGAAAAGAGAAAGGAAAAGATGAGGGGAAAAGAGAGAAGACGATAATAATTCATTTATCTGCTACTGTTTTAAGAAAAGAAGAGGTGATGATAAAGGATGATATAGAATGAGAAAGACAGGGGAAAAGAGAAAGAATGAAGGGAAGAAAGGAGATAGAAAATGAAAATGGAAAGAATGAGAAGAGAAAAAAGGCAAAGAAAAAGAAGAAAAGAAAGAGAAAAGTAGATGTGAAGTGAATGGAGGAGTTAAGAGAGGTGTGTATGTCAGTCTTATGTTTTGTGATTATTCTTAAAAATACATCAGGGCAAATATGTGGGTAGAGAAGGTACTCCCAATGTACAATATTTAAAAAAAACTATATCCCTAATGTAGGACTGGAACTGTTTTGTTTCTTTTCTAAGACCCTACAGAATTACTTTTTGGCTTATCATCACTAGCCGGGATTTACTTTTCTGTTTCTCTTTTAAAATATTGACCCTCTTTTTTTGGTGATTTTTTTTTCTAATGACAAGGATGATAAGTGAATAATTAGGTCTATTGGGCCTAAATAAGTCTGATGCCTTAAAATAAACCTGGCTGATGTAATTACAAGTGACTAAAAATGTGTAAAGCAACATATGTAAACAAGGTCAAACATAAATACTGTAATGTAAAGCAGGTTATGTTTTAATTATGTTGACATCAACATTTTGACACAAATCTAAAATGTTCAAAAATGTTACTTCTGGTGAATAATTTCTAGGTCACTTGCCAAGAAACGAAAAATACACTGAAGATGGTGCGTCTAAGCTACCATTGATTAATGTTTTGTTAATCTATCTATCCATTTATTTTCTTAAATCAGTTTGGAAGAAGAATAGTATAAAATGTTCCTTCTTTTTTTAATGTGCTATTGAATTTACTATTTTTAAAGATTACTGTTAAGCATAACAAAAAAAAAAACTGATGGTTAAAATATGGCTTTCCCTTTCTTTTTCCAAGAAAGAATCTTTATTCTACTCTGCTTTACAAGTTATACGTCAACATGAATTTTAGTTAGGTTTCAGCAACTCCCACCTCATACAAGCAGACCAGCTCTAGGGAAACCATACGTTAATATTAGCAACCTCATCACAAAAAAAAAAAAAATTAACTTAGTAATTTCAAGTAAGTGGTTAGATTTGAATAATTACTGAATGTTGAAGATAAAATAGTGTTAATACTTACGATTAATTGCTGCTGAAAGCCTTCATTAGGTATTATACAAAATCGCCTGTTGCCAACATACCTAAAAGCATCACTGTTTATAGATAAAACTTCCAGTTAATTAAGTAGTAATTATTATCGACATAATTTTTCTTAGTATTATCATCACCATAACAATTCTTATTAAATGTACATTTATTAATAACCATTGATTTCAACTGTATTTTTGAACTTTAGCATTAAGTTTAAAATGGAGGAAAAGAAGCAAACTCTGCCCAGGTCTTTTGGCCATTTTCTGTCTTGATATTAAGCAAACGCTGTTCTGAAAATGAAATTTGTAAAACATGTGTTTTGATGGGCACATATATGTTAAAACACCACAAGGCACTTTATAAAGCAAGTAATAGACTTTAATCGTGATCGCAGATTTAATCGTGATCGCCTTGTGGTGCTTTTACTTATACAAAATTTTGGTGGCATTATTTATGACAGATATGTTAGTATTTCTGAACACTTATAATTTATAAAATAAAACAATTTGTTTGAATCATTCAGGGTTTAGAGTCTGGAGTTGCAAAAATTTGTAAAGCAGAACTTAAATCGGTATTCCAATGAAAACTCAAATGTCATTTTTGTACTTTTTAACCAACAGGAAAAAATTGCTGCCACGTGGGAGTGTGAAAGAGGGAGAGACATCTGCCCCACCCAGACATCACCCATGTTCTTTTCACTTTATTAATACTGTGGTCCCATGAATAATTTTTCCTCCTACCTGGATAATCGTTTTCTAGTGAAAAGTATATTTTACAAGTAGAATTGGTTGCTTAAAGACAGGCACTCACTGAACAAATTGTCAATAAAAATGATCCATGAAGCGCGCGTCCTTGCATTGCGTTCTTCGTAGAATCGCGTATGCTGACGATTGTCGGATACAGTGGGTGCCCGTCTTTACATACAATTTGCACATACCTGTAATCTAATCCATAGGTCTCCATTATGTATGCTATCACTAATGCTGCACTGAATAAGATACAGAATAAAAAAATGTGAGATGATTAAATTTTGATGAAGTTAGAGGGGAATAAATAATATAAATTCATTAATACAGCATTTGTATTGCTTAAAATAAAAGATTATTATTTAATAGTTATAATAATTATTACCTTCTAGATATCCCAGCATTCCCATGGACTAAGCACTTGCCATTACCTTCCAAACAATTATCAATGAATTCTTTAACCTATACAAAAGGGAAAAAATATTTTAATAATGAGAATGTCTTGTACAACGAAATAGCAATATTGCTGTATATCTTTTTAAAAATTCATTATTGCTACTTTGATGTATAAATTATTCTTATTATAAATTTTTTTACAATTAAACATCATGATTATCATTATTTTCTAATATTTAACAATTTTAATTTTTGTAATATGTCTTTCAAAAAATGTAACATTAGAGGTAAATATAGAATCAGCAGAGACAGGAAGTCCATCAGCTGTGTGTTTGAAGACAGCTATATAAACAAACACAAACTAAAATCATACCTCCATGCTAAAATGCACTGTATCAACATACTTGCTGGAAGGCAGTATGTCACTGAGGTATTTGGGTCTGATAACAGTACTTAACATTTTTGGTATATTTCTAAATATATATCCCATTTCACAGGAAGTTGAGTGATGGGATCAGGCAAAAGAAGCAAAGCCCATGGCTGTGTCCAGGGAGCTGGCAAGGGCCTCCCTTTGAGAACGAAGTCTGAATGCCTAGTATTAAAAAGATCAATGATTCTGAAAGACTAACTTTCAATATTTGCTATTTGGAACTTCCATAATAGTTCCTTTTTCAAACTGTAGTTTTTTAATAATTTTATATTTTAAAAGATTCTTGGTGACTTAGACCCCAAGTGCTGCCAATAGTACAATGCTGCAACTATCCATAATGTGGTATTAGAAGGTTTCAATGGCGTATCAAGCAGGGTGCGTGGGGGGCAGGGCATGCACCTCCAAAAATTACTCGCGTCCCCAAGTCGCCCCCCCCCCAAAAATACCTAAAATCACCTTATTTTGCGAGTTAGTGCCCCTCAACTGACCACTGACGCCTCCACCTCACCTTCATACCCCCATCAGCACCCCCCCTATCTAGACTTCTAGATATGCCACTGGAAGATTTGGTGGATTCATCAACGATCCTCCAAATGATAATTATGATTAAATAAACTAAAGGCAAAGGGTGGACAGTGGCATAACAAAGGGGCCTGAGGCATCTTGCTAAGACTTCTTTGGGACCTTACTACATTTGGGGAAAAGCCCCCTACAGCTCTGGGGTATCTGACATTTTAAAGATGTATTTCGATGTCGTTTTTTTTTACATGTTAGTACTCCTTAAAAAAGGGCTCATTTGGCCAATGTATCGGGTGAAAATGCTAATAAATATCCCAGGGCCCTTTAAAGCCTAGGAAATTGGCTCTTTAGCCAGAAAGGTCTCATAGCTTTTAAGTCACTGATGGTGGAGCCATGAAAATTTGGCCTATCTTTTATGCCATAAAAACTTTAAAGTTATTTACTGATTAATGTTGTATCGAGCTTAACATATTTAAGCATTTTATACTGTAAATATTAAGAATTTAATAAAAAAAGATTGGCAAGATAAAGTTTGTTGCACATGAATTAGTTTCATTTATTTATTTATCTTAAGTATTTAATACGCTATATATCAAAATTTAAGTGTGGAAAGTGGAGCAAATGTCACAAACAACTTTTAATAACTATTTCTGGACATACTCAAGGAGAAAATTCAACTTTGAAACGTGAGTATATCTCTTTTCGTGACAAGGGGAAAATATTGATATATTTTTCAGGAATCTACAAGTGTTCATGCCAAGTCTATCTTTCTCACTGCGATGAATATTACAATCTTGCATTGCACTATTTAGAGTGCAAGATTTCTTTCTGCATGAAGCATAGGTGTCACTCGGTAAGGCTAAGCCCGGCAATTACTCCGCCCGGCGGTCGTTGGCCAACACGATTCTATAAAGAATGCAACGCGACGACGTACATGCAGCAGATCGTTTTTAATGACGGTCCATTCAGACTGCCACTGGCAATCAGCAGATGGTGTCGCGTCGTCCAGCGTTTACTGGGAGCAGAGTTGGATACAACGCAGTTAGTGCCTGGCTTTAGGCTTCCAAACCGGAGATCCGGGTTTAAGTCTGAAACTGACTTACTAAATGCTTGCATTCATTCACTAAGCACAGTAATGTAAACTGTCTTTCAGAGGGTCTAAGTTATGGAATCAATCTATCAAGTAAATGAGATATTTGAGATATATGAGATAAATGAGATATTTGAGATATGTATATGAGATATCTATCAAGTAAACGAGCAGCTTAGCTCAGTCGGCTAAACTGGTGGTAGCTGCTGTGTGTGCCCTGCACCGTTGAGTTCTTCCCAGATATTTGCACCAATTCTTAGTTAGAACCGTGCATGCTTGTATCAAGATTAACCGACATAAACACCATACACACATACACATAGCTTATTTTGATTGAGCATGGATACCAAGGGATACGCACATGCGCAGTGCAAACCATGTATTGGCTTATTGCTTTTCTTCTTGTGTTCCAGCTGGTGGGCTGGAATACAAAGTTACGATGTCTTTGGGAAGAAACATTTAAGCCATTAGTCTTGTGTGATGTATGGCCCATGTCCATGATAAAGAATGGAGTATGCTCTTTGGACAAGAGTAGAGAATTGCCTCCTGGTTTACTTCCTAATTTACTACCAGAAATACCCAACTAGAAACAAGTCTTCAGTGGGTTGTCCTTGGGTGAGTATGCAGGAGTCCAAAGTCTGCTAGAGTGTCCCAGAAATCGGGAGAGCCTCCTACACTCCTGCAAGCAAGCAAGAATCTCCCGAAAAAAAAAATATACTGTATCTTCGCAAATTCATAAAATTTGCATGTTTTTACTACTTTAATAACAATTGTCTCACGGAAGTCAGTGCCGATGGGTAATCACCATGCACAGCAACATAAAATTAAGCACATTAAGAAAGCTCATTTAAACAGATCTCCTGGAAGGGACTTCTTTCAACTTGATTCAGTGATGGGAGTAATAATGTGGAGGGCATAGAGTGCTAGATATGATGCAACATAAGAAATATTATTATAGTATAGTTCCCATCATTTTGATAATTCTTAAGTTTTTACAAAATTTATCAATACTTTTAACTGGCTAACATCACTGATTTAAAGGGTCTTCTTCCTATCGTGTCTACTCATGAGTTCATACTCTGTAGAGCCTTGTCGATTCAGGTCTAAAAATTTGACATAAAGATGTTCGTGTATAGTGGTAAAAGGATCGGTAGGAACAGGGCCATGACGTGAACGCTCCTTTCTTGATCCCAACTTGAAGGGTATGAACTTTTTATTTGGAGATATTATATACCACCATGACTCTTGCTTCCACATAAAAACATTTGGGGCAGAGTTTATATCTTCTTGATTTCCTTTAAATCCGGAAAATATTTGGCAGGGGTTTCAAATGGATCAAAGCAATAGGTTGCAGGTTAAGATATTTCCGGTATATAAACATGATTTTGCAATTCGGCATCGGGTTGGCAGATGGTTTCACACATGATGCTAGAGGGCGCTGTTACTCAACCAATTAATCAGTAGCTTTGTCAACCATGATTTAATTTTAATTGACACCATTGAAGAAGGGTGTCGTATAATAAAATGCAGAAGAGGGTACAGTACATGAATTAGGATTGGAACACAGGGAAATGAAAGTTGATTAACCAAAATTTGTAGCATATGTTTTGGAAGAACAGTTTAAAAATATATCTACTAGCATAATGACTACTAATAATTTGTGGGTTGAATTGTAAAGGAATATATGGTAGAGTCTAGACTAATAGTCTATATATATAAAGCTATATTGGCATATCAACTATCAAAATAGACAGATTAGATATAAATCACGGAAATATCTGATGGTGAATGATCATTTAGATGGGGAATCCTTTAGCTCACTTAAGCTGTATTGATATTTGGTATTTTTGGGGTCATTCCAAGTTGTCATGTTTTAAAAAGAATTCATTTAAATGAATGTGCATTATAATTTAAATATCTTACTTAAAATAATCATGTATGAATAGTTGAATTTTGTATATTATTTCTCTTAAAAAATCATTTTTATAAGTAGATAATAATTAATTTCAAAATGTCATTTTGAATTTTGAAATATAAGTATAATATTCTCTTATCTAAACTGTGCCCTCTTTTTCATCTCCCCACCTGTTTATTCTACATTGCTCGGTACCACTTAAAATGTTCACAAAACCTTCTTTTCCCAATTGCTGATCAAACACTGGAACATAGAAATGTTGAACTTTAAGTATTTAGTACTTGTATCACCCTTCTGAAAAATGCTACTTCTTGTAATATAGTAGTAGAACAAATTTCAAAGTCTACTTTCAATAGCCTGCTAAATAACTATAATTTTATAGGAATGACCAATATATATCACCCTATTGACAAGCACAAACACTAAAGTATTAAGGTATAAACCTAGCTGTTTAAGAGTTGTCCCAAGAGAACGAGGACTTCAATTGGCTGGTTGCCATTAAGATTGATTCAATTTCACTGACTGGCACCTAATTAAGACTTCAAACTGTATCTTAAATCACATATGATTGATTCATTTTGCTTTCAATGGGTTTTGAAGGGTTAATCAACTTTAATTAAATAATCCAAGCATGTGTGAAACTTGACCACAATGTAAATGGCCTGCAATGATATTTAGTAATCAATCATAGAGGGAATATATTTCAAAATATGAACTATTATGATTTAACTATTGAATCTAATTTACCATTTTATAATTATTTGACCAATCAAAACACTGAAAACCATTTGACCAATGGAATTGCTTATACAATTCTGGATTTTTCCAAGTATTGAAATACACGCCATCGTGTTGGGATTCAATATTTCGACATTAATTATGTCATCATCAGGAATGAAAAAATTATCAAAAATTATTTGGATAATTTATTTTGGCAATTGTTGATGAATTTTTTGGAATCAAAATCATGTCTTAAAATCTAGTTTTATATAAATTATTAAATAATATATATTTATTTCACCAAGCAAAATTAATTTAATAAAATCATAACTGTGGGATTTAACTAGTGAAACAATTTAACATTTTATAATTATTTGACCAATCAAAACACTGAAAACCATTTGACCAACATAATTGCTTATAACAATTCTGGCATTTTTTGATGAATTTTTGGAATCAAAATCATGTTATAAAATCTAAAGTCTTATATTAATTATTCAATATATTATATATTATTTCACTAATCAAAATTAATTTGATAAAACCATGATTTAACAAATTTAAAAACTTTAATGTCTATACTGTATATGATTTAGCCAATCAAAATGAATGCACAATTTAACCAACACAATCTCTAGAATCAATATGAAACAACTAAAAATCATACAATCATTACACCATTTAACTAATCAAGCATTTTAAATTCTCCACTTAATTTTAACCAATAATATCCGTGGGGTCATATTCCTATGGGAGTTACAACATTTAATCAAACGCAAATTTTTAATTAACAATGAAAAAAAACCACAAAAGATATGGACAATGATTGACCTATGCTATTTGCTTGTTTTAGTAACCTGCACCTTGTTTGATATTGTGTACAGTATTTTTTAGTTAAGTTTATATTCTTTTTTATATTTTATGTTCTTTTTTATGAAAGCATTGAAACCTGAGTTTGTGAACCGTGTTGTGCACAATAACAATAAATCGATCTTGTATCTTGTATCTTCGTAAAATGAAAAATATTCTAATGATTAAACTAGACGAAGACAATTTCACCATATATTGTAATTTGAAGAAAAGACGTTTCAAATGGTTAACTTATAAGTATTGTAGAGGGTATGAATATAATAGCAAATAACTTCATGAAGAAAACCATGAATAAACAAAAATATAAATTTATACAATATCTTGCAATAAAATGAAAGAAAAAAAAGGAAATAGAACAAAAAGGCATAGCCATAGTACACTATATTATGTGCATGGTTAAAAAAAAAAATTTTAAAAAAATTATGTTTAAAGATATCTAAATTGTTATATTGTTTGAATATGACATAAAATACAACTTATATTATGTATCTACAGTTTACGAATAAAAGTGGGATGATGCCACAAAAAATAAAATAAATAACTTTCAATAAAACTACTTTAAACCAACACATTTGTTTAGTCTATACATAAACCAATCATAAATATCAAGTCTATAGTTGATAAGTTGGACACTTAGAATTTAAACTTAAATAATCTGGAACTCTTGTCTTGTCTTACAAATGACATTTATTGGCTTTCTTACCTCTGGAAAAAATCGAATGATGTTCTCAGTATGGCTGTCTGCAATTTCTAACACTAAGTACCTACAAAAAAATCAAATCATGTTAGCCAATAATATTTTAATGGAATTACAATCATAGGCATGTTTCAACCAATCAAATCAATTGAAATTGAAATGCATGAGACTAGTACATGACTTAATGAATATACTAACTGAATCTCTGTCCCTCTCTCTGGATTCATATAGGGTCATAGAGCTATTAAACAACTAGAGTGCTGACAAGATGGCGGGGCAATGCAGAGTTGTGTATGTGTACCATCCAAGATGGCTGCCTTAGGAAAGCGCCACCTTCAGGCTTAGTATACATCAAAGATCTTATTTTTCTTCATTATGATTAACGACCCTCTGGTATATGGTAAGCTAATGTTATGAATAACGAACCTTATGAATAATGAACCTTACGAATAGCGAACCTAAGCTACCTACCTCAAGCTATGTACCTCTTGTCATTGTCTGTCTCTTATACACATCTAGATGTGTATAAGAGACAGGCTCTGCGTATTTCGAACATCGAATACATTGCTGTTAGCGCTCTAGTATTCTTATTATACCTCTATGTATAGGGTACATATCAAGAACTGCTCAAAGCGCTAACTGTTCAGTCACATGATTCATCTTGATCCTTATCATTATGATTTAATATATTCAATATTTAAGGATAACTGCATGAGTTAACCAATCAAAACTGTTAGAAATTGACACCAGTTTACCAAACAAAATAATAATAATAATGATAATAAAATATTTATAATGCGCTAATTTCAAATAAATGATCAAAAGCACAGAGAGTACAACTAGAGAAAGATTTTAAAAATTGACATTGTGAATGGGGGATGGTCTAAATAGAGTTAAAGAGATGGGATTTCAGTTTTAACTTAAATAAATCAATAGTGGGAGACAGTTTGATAGAGAGTGGCAATTCGTTCCATATCGATGAAACAACATATGCGAATGTTCTTTTGCCGTATGTTTTTGTTTTAAATTTTGGGATGAAGAGGAGATTAAGAGGGGACTTAAAAATTAAGGTGAAAAAGATAAGTGGGTTGTTTAGATTGAAAAACCTTAAAACAAATTATAAGAATCTTAAAACTGATACGTTGTCTGAGAGGTAGCCAATGTAGTTTTCAAATAATAGGTGTAATATGTAAACGTCTGTTGGTGAGAGAGCACACTCAGGCAGCAGAATTTTGAATTCTCTGCAACCGGTTGATAGAAAAGGAAGGTAAGCCAACGAATAGGGAATTACAGTAATCAACTTAAGATCAATTTAAAATCAACTTAAGTCGTGTGTGATTCCACCAATCAAATCAATTACCAATTACTAAATGATCCCACCAATCAAATCTCATCAGTTAAGTGCATATTCAAGCCTGTAGTAGCCAGGTTTTTCCAAGGGGGGGGGGGTTCTCTGAGTGTGAAGTCCAGGGTCAAAGCCATGAAGGGTCGGCAAAACCCCTAAAACCAGAAGATTTTTTTGGATCTAAATAATTCAATTAAAGCATATATGTTTGAAAATATCTGAGTCTGGGTGGGTCTGCAATGTATTAGTTGGGTTGGAGGACTTGTTTGGGAAATTTGAAGGGGTTTTCGCCAGAAAAGAGGGGGCTTTGCTAAAAAAAGGGGTTCTCCCGAACCATAAAAATCCCCCATGGGCCTGATATTTCACCTAATTGAATCTATTATCACTTAACATAATAATTTCCACTTAGTTTTTTTTTCTTATGAATATCATTTCCTGTTGGGACCATTCATAATGTCATTATACATCATTTCAAGGGAGCTACATCAAAAGTATTACTTTACCTTTGACAGCGCTAACTGTCATTTTATATTAATCAATTTAAGACATCAATACAAAAACAAAACTTATACAACAGAAATGGTCTTTCAGTAAAACAGCTGGATGACATAAAGAAAGCGGTGTACAAGTATTAACTTCAAACCTGGTTTCAATGTATTAGTATTACTATTAGACACACTTTTTACCAACCAGAAAGCAGATTCAACCACTTGTCTAATGGTAGGAAACATCTCGATGTCTGATGGAATGTTTTTCTCTATGTCACTGAACTCATGTGCAACTTCTAATGAAATATATGCTATATTAACAGAATAAAGTACACAATAATAAATACAATTTGAATAGAAATATGGCCATCACCCAATAAATAAATTTTTAAAAGTGAACATAAGTTTAAGATGATGAAGATAAATAGTACTGAAATAGTTTGATCCCAGAAGAGATTCTGAAATGATGACTCAAAACTTGAGACAATTTAATATGTAGCAAACAAAACAACAGTAAGGAACAGCAAACAAGATATCAGCAAAAAAACCAAAAAAAAAACATCAGAAAACACATCAAAATGTACAATAACCACAAAATGACAGCATATCGAACACATCAGGAAGACAATGACAGCATGAAGTTCCAAGTTGGGAGAAGGCACTTTAGTGATCTGGTTTAACAACTTTTTAGACATCTTGGGTTTTCTTTGTATACCGTATATAGACCATTTTCGCCAAATTTGAAAAAACCACTGGGGGACTATGAGAGGCCTAGCATTTCACTCTACGTAATTACCATCATGGATTAATTAGACAAAAAAACTATATTACTAACGAGCCAAATATTTCAAAATGAAAAAAAATGAAACATTGATATTAAAAACAAGTCTAAGTCTTAAATATCTATTTCAATGTTTATATACAATAAATAGCAAAAGAACGTATCTGTTGTCTGCTGGTTTATTCAAAGCGGGGCATTTATTTGAATAAATATGGTATTTTTTTTATTATACTTCATATACTGTACTATATGTTAATAAGTGAAAGTTTTGTATAGTTCAATAGTCTTATTAACTATATTTGATAAAATTATTGATGACTTCCAACAGTATTTAATATTTAAGTCCTACACTTGTTCAAAAGGATAATTGACAATAAGTAAGTCCTCTTAGGGACATACTACATCGATGGAACTCTTCCTCAAAGACAAAATGACACACCAATTGACTACACAGCACCTGTTGATGATAATGACTAGAAAATGGGTCACTGACTTCCCCCGGAATCTAAGGGCCAAATTCCTTCTCACAATCACCAATGAAAATAAAAACAGATTTTATTGTTTCTTTATTTATGAACAAATGCTGGTGTTGGTATATATTATTTTAAAATGACATAATTCAATTTGTAATGAAAAACTATAATATACCAATTAGGAAAAAGAAATTAATCAATGAAAATTTGGGTATGTATTTGATAGTTATAAATTCCCATATGAATTGATATTAATTACTTTAATTATTATTATTAGTGTTATTTACTTAGTTATTAAATTTATTTATGCCTACAAAAAAAGTATAACATATGCATCGCAAAGTAAATTGCAAAGTACCATGAAATTCAATATTTGTTTTGCTTGCTTGTATATTAAGTTAAGTTATTAAACTTTTAATTAAAAATTATAATGAGATTTATTGTTTAATACTTGAGTATATTTTTTTGTTGAGAAAATGTTCAGTGGGAAGAAGAAAAGCAATTTTTTTGATTCAGAGACATGTAAACCCACACCTCCGTAGACACATACAGATGGGATGTTGATACTTGCTTGATTTTTAATGACAGTGAGTCTTTAACTGTTTAGTGTAATTATTAAGGAACTGTGCCGCGTGGAGATGCACGTTAGCCAACGCCCATATTATGCACAGTATTTCAACAAGATCATGTGTTGTCAATTTCTCCTCCACTGTCAGTTTTATTAAATGTCATATTTGGACTAGCGAGCAAACTTAGATTTTTTTCCATGTTTATGGTCTACTTCTCTTCCTTCCCAATTACCGTATGGCCTTGTCATATATATTTATCTTCTGCCATGAATGTTGTATAAGTTATATAAACGATGAAGTGAAAATGTAAGTCTTGCCCATTGAATTTATAATTTTCTGCGTTTTTATCAATTTTGGCTGCAGTACTTTAAAACTTGTCAAATAAGACGGAGATTAGTTAAGATTTTAATACATTCAATATATACATGGTCAAACTATTTAAACATATACTGTTACTCCCGGATACACTAATGGGGGTGCGGTAATTTCCAGTAGATACAAGTCTCAGTCATGTCCGGGTCAAAGCCCTGGTAGGATTCAAGAGACAAAAATATTTAGAGTGTTACAGCTGCTATG